CGCCTGGTGGACACGCGGCTGGTGCACCACAACGTGACGCGCTGGAAGACCTTTGATGTGAGCCCGGCTGTGATCCGGTGGACCAAGGACAAGCAGCCGAACCACGGGCTGGTGATCGAGGTGACCCACCTCCACCAGGCACAGACTCATCAGGGCAAACACGTCAGGATTAGCCGATCTTTACCTCAAGGGCGCGGGGACTGGGCGCAGCTCAGGCCGCTCCTGGTCACTTTTGGGCACGACGGGCGAGGCCACGCGCTGACCCGCAGAGCCCGGCGGAGCCCCAAGCACCAGCGTTCCCGCAAGAACACCCAAAAGAACAAAAAAACGTGCCGCCGCCATGCCCTCTATGTGGATTTCAGCGACGTGGGCTGGAACGACTGGATCGTGGCACCCCCGGGGTACCAGGCGTTTTACTGCCACGGGGACTGCCCCTTCCCTCTGGCCGACCACCTCAACTCCACCAACCACGCCATCGTGCAGACGCTGGTGAACTCGGTGAACTCCAGCATTCCCAAGGCCTGCTGCGTGCCCACGGAGCTCAGCGCCATCTCCATGCTCTACCTGGATGAGTATGACAAGGTGGTCCTGAAAAACTACCAGGAGATGGTGGTGGAGGGGTGCGGGTGCCGCTGACCCCCTTCCCTCTCCTCCCCTTCTCTCTCCCTCCCGTCCCACCCCAGAACTGCTTGCTATAGCTGGACTCTTCTCTAAACTAAACGTTCACCTTGACCTTATTTATGACTTTATGTGCAAATGTTTTTGACAATAATGATCATATATTTTGACAAAATATATTTATAACTACATATTAAAAGAAAAAATAAAATGAGTCATTATTTTAAAGGTAAATGCATTCTGTGTCTCGCCTCTCAGGGTGCTGCTGAGGCTGTGCTGCCTGCGAGTGCGGCAGGGAATTTATCTTCTCTCCTTATCTTCTTTCCCCTCCCCCCTTCTCCTTTCCCCCTCACTCCTTTTCCACTTAAAGGCTTTGCAAATTTCAGTCTTTCTATTTCTCGCCGAGGTACCCGCGGATCCCCCAGTGCTGGGGCTGTGCCACGTGGGAGATGAGGGTCCCTGGAGATTAAGAGCCGCTGGGAATAGAGCCGACCTTGCTAACCTGGCCCAAGCCTTTGCAAAACAACCCACCAAAAATGCATTTGAAAAGAAGGTGAAGATTTACCTGAGGGCTTTATGCTAAACCCTCTGGGTTTTTATACCCTTCCTCCAACTTCAGGATTCCCCAGGTTTTAAAACTATTAACATTTTCCCCTCCCTTACTCCCCTCCCCACTGGAGATTGGGAAGCTTCAAAGGTTTCCAGGGGTCCTTTGAAGATCAAATCACTCCATTACAATACCAAAAAAAAAGATATCTGGAGCAGTTAAATATGTGTTAGCTAATAGCTACCTGTGCTGTGTCCTTTCTAAATTGTTTCCGAGCAGGAAGGTGATCGGAGCTGAGCAGGTACAGTTGGAGATATCAAGGGCTTTGCAAACCCTGGCTCGAATGGATTGGAGGGACTGTGTTTGGCTTGGAAAACAGGGAGCTGTGCCTGGGCAGGGTGGCACGGGGCTCGTGTCCTGGAGTGGGAAGCGGCAGCAGGGTGAGGGTGCATGCTGCTTTTTTTCCCCTCTTTAATGATTGAAGCTTTCCAACCCACTGAAAGGGGCAGCTTAGTTGAAACCAATAAAAACTGGAGTGGAAAGCTTGCCAAAAGCCTTGGCTCCCTGAAGAGTGCAGGTGGAGAGAGGAGATGGGAGCTGTGGGGGGAGGCGAGCATGGCCCTGTGTTTCTCTTGGAAAGCAAAAGTCCAGCCCTCAACCTCTGTGCCAGTGAGGCTTTTCCACCCCTCCATCCCAGCAGTGTACAGGACACAGGGTTCCCTCTGCTGCTGGAGAGCCTTGGGGTGTCTCTGAGTGCTGGGGGGTCCCCACAGCCTCCAGCACCCTGTGAAGAGCAACGGGTGCTAGCTATGGGGCTGAGCATCCCCGGCAGGGCAGGGACAGAGGGATCACCCCAGCACTGGGGACCCCGGGCTGGGGTTATTGCTGTCGGGTCTCCAGGGCCCCCTCGGCCCCGAGCTGACACTCTCATTCCTGCCTTTAGAAGGGAAATGCGTGGCCTGGGGCATCGGCGACCTGCTGCCTCCCCTTTGATGCCTGCATATCAGACATAGCCATGCCAAAGAAAGAATTTCATTTTGAAGTGGCATCAGCTAAAGGCGAGCGCCTTTCAGCTGCCTGACAGGGCAATTACACACATCTCCATCGATAACCTCGGCTGCGGCGAGGTCGGACCGGGAGAGGGAGTCTCCGGGCCCCCCGGCAGCCCTGGCTGTGGGGCAGCCACTGTGGGAGGGTGTCTTGGGGAAAAAGCATCTCTGTGGCTTTACTGAAAACAAAGAGGCTTCTCCCAGGTTTGCTTCCCTCTTCGCCGGTGCATCCCAGGTTGTCCTCGAGGCCGTGAGGGTGCTGCAGAGCTGAGCAGCATCTGTGCAAATGCCTCTTGGATTGAGGTCATTCTTGCTGGAGGAGTATCCAACAGCTTTGCTGTGTTCCTGCTGCTTTATGGAGCTGTTTATTTTGGTGCTTCTTTTTGCATTGCGTTTCAATGATGAAATCAAAGCTTCATCCCTGTGGAGGCAGAGACACTTGCTTTTCTGTAGGTGCTGCTGTTGTCCTAATGCCAACGTGGCCTCTGGGAGATTCTCCTTGGCTTGGTGAGGTCCTATATGGGGGTTATGCTCA